CAGCGACAGGACAAGGGGCAGCGGGCACAAACTGAAGCAGAGGAAGCTCCAGCTGAAGGTGAGGAAGAACTTCTTCCCTCTGAGGGTGATGGAGCCCTGGCCCAGGCTGCCCAGAGGGGCTGTGGAGTCTCCTTCTCTGGAGATCTTCAAGCCCTGCCTGGACGCGGTGCTGTGCAGCCTGCTCTGGGTGACCCTGCTTTGGCAGGGGGTTGGGCTGGGTGACCCCAAAGGTCCCTTCCAACCCCGAACATTCTGTGATTCTGTGACTGGACCAGGATTTTTAAACTTGGCATTCAGGGAAAGCACTGGGCTTTCCATACCCTTACACAAACGAGACGAGTTGGTCTTGTTGTTACTGAGCTTTGGACTTTGGATGGTGTGGCTCCGGATTTTAGCTAGCTCATCCCTCTGCTCGCTGTCTCCAGGCAGCTGTCCCAGCAGATGGGAGCAGTCGCATGATCACGCTGATTCGCATCCTCTCTGCTAAGCAGTGGAAACACACCAGGCTAGGTCCACCCAGTTCTCTCCCTGCTGCACTTGGAGGAGCCCCTCTGCCCAGGGCACGCTCATCCCAAAAGCTTTCTCCTCGTTTGCTCGGCTTTGCTAGCACAGAGGGGCAAAAAGGGCCAGCCCCGGGTGATTCCTGGGGCGTTTGGAAACGACCGACCCGCACCACAGCCTGAAACTGAGAGGAGCTGCGGTTCCAGGAACGCTCACTGGGGCATCACCCACAGGCGGAGAGACAACAGCCGCTGACAGCACCGTGGGGTTCCCACCTCGCCAGAAAGTGCTCCAGGGAACGCACAGCCTGTTGTCCCTGTCCCTATCCCAGTCTGCCTGCTGGGAACAGAAAGGGCAACACGCTCCTGCCGTCGGCAGATCCCACGACCACCTCTGGCCTGGCAGCACTGCAATTTTTGGAGACAGTGCCTTCAAAAACTGCCCCTGCCCTTGCGGGCCACCCTCAGAGCATGCTTTCCACATCAGTCCTTCCCCCACGTTCCCCGTCACACCTCACCTTGCCATCGCCCAGGGCATTCCTCCAGGCAGTGGTACCCGCTCCGAGCCTTCGCACACAGAGGGAGGTCCCGCCCCGGCCTCAGCTGCCCCATCCTCTGCCTCGCAGCCAGGCACAGCGCCAAAGGCAGCGGAGTTCGACGTGGTGATCCTTGTATCCATCGCAGAGCGCCGCTGCGGAGACTGCGCGGGGAGCAATTCCCTGTCCCAGCTTCTCCCGGGTGTCCATGTCATCTGCAGCCCTGCCCTGCCTCACAGCCAGGTTCCGCGGTGACAACAGAGGCCGACTCCATGCTCTGAAGTCTCGGAGCAAAGTGTCCGAGACGTTTGTGTCGACGGCCGTAACCTTTGCTATCTTCAGGGAACTTTTGGGAGGAGGGGAAAGATCTTCAGCTTTGCAAGGCAGCACCAGAAGTAATTAGTCTATGTAATTATTAACTCCCAAGGCCTGGCTGGCAGGGACGGAGGGTCCTCAGATTAGAAAGGTAGAACTTCCAGGATCCAACAAAGGCAGGAAGACTGAGCACTGATAATGCAGGCAGGAAGCATGAAGAGGGGCTGTGCTGGAGATGCTGAATCCCAGCCACTTGCAAAAACAACTGGTTGGAAGGTGAGAGTGGCACATGCTCCCCTGCGCTCCCAAGCCCAAAGGACAGGCAGAGCTACTGAGGAAGCCCGGACAGACCCCGAGATTTCTCCGTAACCAGGTGGATGGCCTGGCCCAGCGGAGCAGAACGCCGCACACATAGGTGCCAAGCTGAGGGTTATCATGGAAGCCGCCTCGAGGCAGGAAAAGCTGCTGCCTTCTCCATGCCCTCTGCACAAGGCTGGCTCTGCCCCAGGCCGTGTTGTGGAGGGTCCCAACGTGTCCATCCCAGCAGCTGGTGAGACGCAGACCCAGCTCCCACCTCTGGTTTGAAGAGACAACAAACCACCAGGAAACATTGCAGTTTGGGTGCAGTTGGAAGCTCTAACCCGGCACCTTTGTCTCACGCCACGGAAGTACCCTGCTCTCTCCCACGTTATTTCCCATTTACACTTCACGGAAGCTGAATAAACCATTGCCCTCTGGGCAATGAAGTGCCGTAAAAGCCCCTTTGCCTCCCGCAAGGCTCCCAGCACGGCACATACCTGTTGTGAAGGCCCTGACATGGTACTTCCCCACTGCCACAGGCATTTTCAGTCACCCTTTCTCCCCCCCCCATTCCTTCCCCACTTCCACTGCCTTTGCTCTGTCACTTGTATCTACTCGCCCCCCGCGCTCTCACACACCTCCTGCAGATCCAGCTTGCTGACCATCGCGATGCTTCACCTTTTCCTTCTCATCCTCCCACCTCCTCCAGGCAAAGCATCATCTTGCTGTTGCTTTCTGTGTCTTCTTGAGAGTCAGGTCCAGTCAGGTCCTTTGCTCCCTACGGCTGTTTCACAAAGGAAAGGACCC